TACAGGCTCTCTTCGATGGCACTCACTTCTCCACTCAGGTGATTCAGCCCTACGCGGAGTTGAGACGAGGAGGGACGACCGCACGGCAAACCTTGATGGACAATTACCTATCGAAGCTTACGATCCATACTGTTGGGAGTGCGTTGGTCAAGCGGAAGTATCCAGTTCTAGCTACGGCGATGACTATGGTCCTGGCCCCTTGTTTGACCATCGCGGCGAGCGGGTTGTACTCTACCGAAGGCGTGGACTCCAGACGTGCAGTGTCTATCTTAAGAAGCGACTCGTTCAACTCCACAGTGTATCCTAAATCTTTCAATGAAGACCACCAAGGGCTCGGTCTCACTGGGGCTCTTGTCGTGACGACAAATATCTCATATCCAGACTGGACCTACGATGAGCTCGTGTTCCCGATGCTCGATGAGAGCTCCCTGACGGATGTGCAGCAGAGGACACCTTATAAGTCTACAAATCAGAGCTCTGCCGCTCAAAGCGCCTTTGAACTGACCCTTCCCGCTCTCCGCGCCGGCCTCAACTGCACAGCCCTGAAAGCGGACCAGATCCTAAGAGCGAGAACAACTCGCGGGTTTTCCTCCAGCATAGTGGATCTGTTTCTTGGAGATCATTGTGTCACATTTACTGAGAAAAGCGACAAGGGTACGCTCCAGGCGTACGACGCATCCATCCCAACCAACTTAACCCATACTATCTTTGGTACCTTTCAGACAACGCAGATAATAACGAACCGTCCGGGTTGTCCGGTAATGATTGGGCTCTACGGGACCATGACCAACCCTAATTCCACCGACGGCATTCATGGGTTCACATGCACACCATATGTTGATGAAGTTAACGTGGATACCAAGTTTCTCCTTCCGGGACTTCGGATTGAGTCTGCCAACCCCGACGAGACCTCGCGGCGACACTTCGCCGACAATTTCACCACCCAGTTAGATTTCAATGCTTTCTTACCCACCAGAACGACCACCGAGGACGAGGCATTCGACAAGTTCTTCTCCGCCATGATACAATACCAACAGACCTTGACCCTGTCTGACATTCAACAGGCAGACCGACTGCCTACCGTGATAAATGCCACCCAGCATCTCTATCGAGTCCTTATGGCTCAAAGTCTAAATGGAAATTCCCGACTCCCCCCACAGAATACGACCGTCTACAACGGGACGGTTGTGGATCCGACCGGCGTCCGTCTTCAGCAAAGCGGCGTGTCGACCCGTCTCCTCGAAGGCCTCTTGGCGGCCATGGTCCTTTGTACTCTGGCTGCCTTCTACTTGCTGCGCACGCGGGAGGTGATTCCTGTGAACCCGTGCAGCATCGCTGGGGCGGCGATGTTGCTGGCGGGGTCGGAGATGTTGAAGCCCGATGTGATCCCGCCGGGATCGGAATGGTGCGATGACGACGAGTTGGTGAAACGGGAGGTCTTTAGCGGATTGATGTTTGGTCTGGGGTGGTGGGAGGGGAAGCGATTTGCAATTGACATTGGGCGACCGGATGAGTAGAGAGACGTCACCTATCGCAATTCTTGATAAGTTTCGTTTTCCTTCCATGGCCTTGAGCCGAATATAGAAATGTCACCCCAACCCGCGTTTGACCAACGATCGCCCAGGTGAACCTGCTCTCTGTTTCCGATCGCTACGGGATATGAAGTATAGGGCTTGCAGTGATCCTCCTTGGTATATGGACCGATGTGAACCCACTAGGTAGTTTTTCTTTGATCGGCCAGTTCAGTTCGCAGGGCACAGCCTTCTGGGCTGACAAGACTAAAGATAGTAATTACGCAGATGGTCGCAGGTGGTTCTTTGTGCGTTGGAACTTCGTGCCACGGATCAGGGAGCGGAACCAAGGTTGTCAGCCGTGGCAGTGGCAGTGGTTCTGCTGTGCTTCCCATGGAAGTACTAACAGTACAGACTGACATGCCTGTGTGACTTGCATAGCCCTAATTCCCTTCTCCCGACGGAGCTCTTCCTTGCGGCTTGCGTCTATCTTTAGCCTTCTTTGTTGCTTCTTGTTTATACGACCTAATTACGATCCTGCGACATTAAGTTTCTATCGCTAGTGCTCAAATATAAATATATGGACATCGGCCATGAAAGATTTTCTCTTCATCACAGACAATCGACTCAGAGCAACTTTACTATTCAATCAATCAATCGAAAACTCCTCCATCAGAGACTCGGACTCACAATGCATTTCCACATCCTCACCCTCGCCGCCATCTTAAGCCTAACCACCGCTCTCCCCACCACTACAGGCGACGACACCCACTGCGCACCCGGAACGACTTTCTACCACTGCAAGACCAACAACTTCCGCGGCTGCTGCACCATCGACCCCTGCGCCCTCCCAAGCTGTCCCTCCCAAACAGCTCCCAGTATCCTCCCAACCCCCCCAACCTGCCCCGGCACCGTCCAAATCTACCAACCCAAAACACAAACCCACCTCTCCGGCTCGGGCTCCACCATCTCCACTCCCAATTTCAACCTCACCAAATCCCCCACCCGCGAATGGACCCAAACCATCACCTTCTCCGTCCCCAAGTCCGCCACCGAATGTGCCCTGCGATGGAGCGTCCCCGCCAAACGCACTTTCCAGGCGGGTGATAACGCCGTCGTGCACGTGTCGCAAGGCCATCCAGCCACGGGCCGGGAGATCGGGACAGCAGACTTTACCAATTGGCCGGGTGTCGACGGACCGCATAAGCATTCTGTGGCGAAAGTGGATTGTATGCCGGAGATGGTCTTTGGACTGCGACTGGCGGCGGAGAGTGAGATTTTCTTGGCCCAGGATGGACAGACCGGGTGGTTTGTTGAGTATTCGTGCTGATATCGTTTTTTTCTTCTTCTTCTCGTTTTGGGTCAGAGGATGGAGGTAATGCGGGTTGTTTTTCGTTCTCGATGGATATTGTTTTGTTTTGTTTTGTTTCTAGATATGCTTTTCAAGCTCGTTGTTGCATCGCTTTCATAATAATTTTGCTTATTTAAATGTTTCAATCCATCTACGTATCCCAACCAGCTGGATGATCCCCTCGAGCAATTTAAACCGCGAGTCCAGAACTCGATCTAGAATGATAGCTATGGTATTATACAAAATACATGAAGACAGGGGGTTCTCCAGCCCCGATCTGAAGTGAAATCCAGTCGACAGAATGTCAGACCTGCCCTGGAACCATGACCTATTTAGGAGGAATATCGATCGAGGCAATCGTCCAGACCTTGCCTCCCTGCGACGAAGTCAATCCCGAGAATTTGCCAGTGCCACCGGTGGCAATCGTGTTCCCGAACGACGGATCGGGGCCGTCCAGGGTGACTTGGGTGTTCAAATACTTCTGCGTCTCGATGGGTCCCGTGCAGCCGCCATTGCATTCGGTTCCGGTTCCATAGCTGCATCCATTAGCGGGGACAAAGACAGACGACTAAAGAAGAAGAAGAAAACCCTACCCCCTCATAAAAGGCCCGTCCTTGTGTTCAAACGTAGACAACACCTTTCCGGTCTTCGCATTGGTCACATGTCTGGATCCATTAGCTACTGCTAGCAAAAAAGGGAACCCCACGAAGACAAGACACATACTGAACCCACGTGTCCTTGTCCGCCTGCAGAGTGTACTCGATGCGAATCTGGTCATCGCCTTTCACCGGGGAGGCGCTGCCATCGAGCTGTCCGAAGGACCCGAACACACTGGCGCGCACGCACCACTCGCCCTTCTTCGCGCCGCACCACGAGTTATCCGGCCAGCTTTCGATGGTGGTCTGGACGAGATCGCCCGTGCCGTTGCTCATGCCGGGCCAGAGGAACAGCTTGCCGTTCTGCGGAGACGGAGCCACGCCGGGGATAAGCGTCGTCACGGCGTGCGTGATAGTCGACTTCGTGGGGCCGAGAGACACGCTGCCGCCCCACGTATCCACTCGCTTTTGGACGGTCGCTGCGAGAGCGAGCGTCGGGATGAGAAGAAGAGATTGGAACTTCATCGTTGCTTTCTTTCTTTCGTTTTTGTGATGCTAAGAAACTGCCAGTTGTGTTGTGCTTTCATGAGTCCCGAGGACCACGACGCTTTATATATCTCTGTCGTAGGAGGCTATACTAGCTCCGAAATGCACTCGACGAGTACCGGTGTCTCATCACGACTCATGCCAGGTTCTAATCCCAGGCTGTCTGCTTCACGTTCTTGCTAGCGTTGTACCCTTAATCTACCCGAGACCGGCAGTGAGCCTTTCTTCGGTAATTTGATGGGAAACGAGAGGGAATATGCCGTCGTCCGCCCCTTAATGACTCGGTCCAGATAGGGGTTTGTGTTCATGGTATGCATAGTATTCGGTCGTCGACTGGACTTCTTCTTTCGCATCTATACTCTCGTACTCATGCGGGGGATACGAGAAGCTCAAGATTCAAGAATAGGGCTTTCAAAGACAAAATCTTGTTTCCCGTGCCAAGATCGATTTCTCGGCGGAAAAGTCTTAGCTTTGGCTTTGTTGATGGGCTTCCGTCATCTGATCGGCTAAGCCTTCGGATTTCCCTGCGTCCAGTGTTTCTTTGCATATTACTCCGTCGTGTTCTGAAACGCGGAATATCGGAGAGCAATCCGTTGACGGGGTTTCTACGCTTGCGGATATTACTGGTGGTATCAAGGGGTGTGCTTGGTGGCTGGTGAGGAGTCGGGTGTTTTCTGGTCTGACGGAGTAGTACGGTGGCATTGTAGGGTTTATGGATTCTTCGCTTTGGAAGTTCCGAGTCCTTGGTGGAACGTCAAGTTCTTCCTTACTTTGGTGCTGTATGTATATGCCATGAAGCCGCGGAGCAAAGATTGCCAACTTATAGTTATGCAACAGGCTCATGGCTACGTTCCAGTGAACACTCGGGTATAGTACGACCCAGTACTCTGTATGAGTCCAGCCAAATGATCAGTCCGTCCCATCGAGATGGAAATTCATAGTGCAAATGCAAAGTGTGATAAGTCCCGCGGCTATTAGATTAAAATAACTAAATACGCATCATTGGTCTAGTGGTAGAATTCATCGTTCCCATTGATGAGGCCCGTGTTCGATTCACGGATGATGCAATGTAATCTTTTTTTTTTTTGTCTCCCCGCTTCACAGGCGGTGAGCAGTGGCATATCCGTCCCAGATCGCATACCCCCATTGCCAACCGGCGAAATGCCCGATCGTGCGCTCCACCCACGGTTCCTGGGCGGGGTTGCCCCGCACGACTTCGCGGATGCGGTGGATGGGTCCGGCGCCGTGCCAGTGGTGTGTCCAGCCGGGGTTGGGTTGTTGGATGGGGGGTAGAGTTGGGAGGGTGCGGGTCATGTCGGGGCGGTCGTATTTGTCGGCTGGGTCGAGGAGGACGGGGGGATCGCGGGCGACGTGGACTAGGTTCATGAAAGAGGATTTGGAGGCGATGGCGTTGCAGGCGATGAGGTTGCGGCGGGCTTCGTAGGTGGGTTGGTGGAGGACGGTGCAGAGGAAGGTTGGGCCCAGGGAGACGAGGTGGTTGCGGTAGTCGTTGTAGTCGTTGCCGTCGCTGCCTGTGTTTGGGTTGTTTAGTTCCTGGAGTTCTGAATTTCCCGGGGGGAAGGGAGTCTCACCATCTCCATCGACGCTGGGGAAGAGTTCCCTGCCGTCGACGGTGGGTCGCAGGGCTTGCCATTGATGACTGTTGCGCGGGAACTCCTGCGCGATCTCGGCGAAGATGGCCGTGTATTGTTGTTGCAGGAAGACCCAGAGACAGCCGAATTCCTCGACTTCCCACGGGGGCATGGTGGCGAAGATCAGACTCCACATCTCGTGGAGGCCGAAGTTCCGGTACCAGGTGGAGGATCTCCGTTGGCTGGATGGCTGGTCGCTCCATTCCCGCGCGCCGAAGATGTTGCAGTAGGTTTGGAGACGACAGAGGGCGCGGAGGATGCGGGCTTTTTCGGTCTGGGAGGGGCTGTCGGGACGGGGCTGCTCCCCTGGGGTGCAGTAGCGGTGGAGGAGGGATTCGAGCTGGCGATAGAGGTGGGCGAGCTGTCGGCACTCCTCCATGGTGGCCGGGACGTTTTCCGATCCGGGGAGCTCGGCCGGACGCCGTCGACGGTCTAACAGGGTCACAATGTCGTCCTTGTTGGCCGGGATGTCGGCATGCAGGCCTTGGGAGCGGATGGCGGCCATGGGCTCCGTCAAGTCCATGAGACCATATTGTCGTTGGAGGATCTCCTGCAGGAGGTTCTTCTTGGAGAGAGCATAGGTGTTGTAGTAGACGGGGGAGGCATCGACGAGGGACTGAAGGGATTGGATATCTGGGAGCTGTTGGAGAATGAGGATGCGGAGCTCTGTTGGGAGGGATTCTAACGCCATGACTTCAGTCGCCGATGGATCTGAGAACGAACTTGAAGAACGAAGGTACTAATGATAATAGGATATATGATGCTATATATATAGTAGTAAATGCCTCCTGCCAAGGATGATTCAATTGACGCATTCTCGGCATTTCCCTCTTGGAACCTTGGAAAAATACCATCATACTCTTAATAACTTCAAACTTGAATGATACTCCGTACCATTGCGGGGAAATGCGGAGATTCTGTCGATCTCTCGAAATGTTACCATTTGAACACTACTATTGAGTATCCCGGACGGTATCTACAGAGTCGTACTCGATCACTGACTTTGTATGTCCTTTCCCTACCCACCCCATAAATGATACACGCACGCCATTCCCCGTAAGATGATCGTCAATGACACTCCTGTGACCAGAAACGTGACTCCCAAGAAATTGGACAGTTTTTATTAGGTAAAAAGTTAGGTCACGCCTCGGTCTAGATTCCCGACTCCCTTGTCATGCGGTGAGAAAAATCAGTCTGTGCAAAGACATTTTGCCAGACAAAACGCCAATGGTTGTTGGGGTGACGTCATACCCGCATCGTCAGGTGATTCGAACCATCCGACTAGCCGGTTCGGCAATAGTCATTGAGAGTCAGCTGTTTTATTGTTCAAAAGTGGTGACTTCCTTCTCCTTCTCCACCAAGGCTTATCAATCCAAAAATCCAGCGGCCCCTCACTCATTCAAGGTGCCGTAGTGTAGTGGTTATCATGCGACGTTGTGGTGCTCTCCGCAGTCCCGTCTCGACCTGGGTTCGATTCCCAGCGGCGCCAATGGCGTCTGATACTTGGTGAGTTCTTTTTGCTGTCCGACTGGACTTTGTTTATACTACGAACTACGGAGTCGTATGTGATAATATGTATGTATGGACTTAGATTTCGAGAGTGAAAATCAATTTTATTAGGGCGATGGCCATTAAAGGCCGATTCTATTTAGTCTACCAGTCTAAGCAGTGCCATCTATTAATCTTCTTCTTGTACACAGTCAGGATTGCGGAGCTTGTCCAACGGCCGTGCCAAAGCTGATAAGAGTTGAACTGACATCCCCCGGCGGGATGCAGCATTCGAGAATGGCCAGCTTCGTCGGTTCCTGCTCGACGCGATCCAGCGCGATGCGCAGCTCCGCCGTGGTCTTGATCTGCATCGCAAACATCGGCGGGTTCATGCCCATGCCGTTGATCTGGGGGTCCACGTGGGGATTGTCGACGTACGGGGCGTGGAACATGTTACAGAGACTCTGCGCGAAGGCTGTGTAGTTCCAGTTGTTGTAGTAGTTGTAGGGGCCGTCGTGGATGGCGGTCTATGTGATCTGTTAGATTTTGATATCCCGAAGAAAAGAGAGAGAGAGAGAGAGAGAGAGAGAGAGAGAGAAAGAAGGAGACTTACCTCGATCGCATACCCCAGATTGTTGAAGATGAAAATAATCGAGTTCGTTCGCGCCCGAATCATGGTGCTCACTTCCTGCGCCGTCATCTGGAAACTACCGTCTCCGATCATCGTGATAACCCGTCCATCGGGTCGCCCAATTTGGTACCCCATCGTCGCTGGCAAGCTCCATCCGATCGATCCGTATACCATTTGCATCTGGTAGTCGGCTCCGTTCGGCAACTGGATCGTTTGCGCGTTGAACCAGCTATCGCCCGTTTCGGCGATCAGGGTGTCCTTGGGCGTGATGATCCTTTGGATGCCTTGCAGAATGGCAGCAATCGACAAGCTGGAGTTCCCTTCTAAGCTCCCATGTGGAGTCGTCGGGGTGAGCGGTAGGGGTCGACATGTCGTGTCCTTCCGAGGAATGTCAGAGGCAATGATGGCCTGGATTGTGTCGTCAAGGCCGATTCCTTTCAGGGACTCGCCGCCGGGCGTCGTTATGTACCCGTCTTGAAGATCCAGAATGCGAGACGACTCTTTGCTCAGATCCAGGTAGCTACCCAGGGTGTGAAAGTCCGTCCAGCGGCATCCCATCATCACCCACAAGTCCGAGCGAAGCACCGCTTCTTCACATCCGACATTACTCGACGCAGACCAGAATGTGCCGGCAAACTGAGGATGATCCTCCGGTATGAGGGACTTGGCGTCGGGCTGAACGAACACCGCACACCCCAGTTTGTCCACGAGAGCCACCAACGTCGCGGTCGAAACTGTCTGCCGTACACGGGCCCCGACCATGAGTATCGGCTTTTCTGCGGCTTCCCAGATGGGACGAATGGTCTCGACCGCAGCACGGGTGGAGTCTCGTCGCGCTGGGATCGGCTGGGGGATGATGAGAGGCGTGGGAGGGGGACACGGGAACTGAGAGATATTGGACGGGATCTCGATATACACGGGCAGGGAATCCTCCAGACAGCGAGTGATGGCACTGTCGAGAGTTCCGATTGGGTCATTTTTGGTCGTGAGGCGGACTGATGCCGTCGTCACTTTGGCGAACATCTGCAAGGGTTGCTCTCTGTCGTTGATTCCCAAGGTATGATGCATCATTCGGTCCTGACCGAACGTCTCCTGTGGGGGACAGCCCGAGACGACGATCACTCGCAGGTTTTCCGAGTATGCGCCTGCGATCGCGTTGATGACTGAAAGGCCGCCGACCATGAAGGTGACGAACACCACCGCCACTTTGCTGGGAGATGAACGCGCGTACCCGTCAGCAGCATACCCGGCGTTGAGCTCGTTGCAGCATCCGACCATGCGCAGGGATTTGTTTTTCAGGATCTGATCCAGAAGCGTCAGGTTGTAATCCCCTGCCGGTTGTTAGTCCAGGGGGAACTGTACCGCGCAGACCGTTCACCGCGGCTTACCAGGGACCACGAAGTAGTCCGTCACGCCAAGTTCTTCCATGCGGTGGGCCAACACCGTCCCAATGTTGTAGTGGCCGGGATGGAACTGAGGCTGGATGGCCGGAGAGTCTTCGTATGCCGAGAACCGTGTCTTCGTCACGGCTGGAACGGTTTCAACTTCCAAGAATGATGGAGCCATTGTTGGAGAGACTGTGGATTGTGCGAGATGGAAACTGAGAGTCACAAGAAGATCACTTGGATTAGCTGGTTGTCGGTCTGAGATTGCTCATTCAGGGGGAAGAGATCTTTGCCTTTATATCCATCGCCGACCTCTATCATAGCCCATCGATGGTGTTCCAGCCCTTCCAAGCCATGGAGTGTTATCGGTGCGGCAAGTTTGCCGGTGAGGTTCTTTGACTTCTTGTTCTCCTGGCCGGTTCGTGGAAGATATGAATCACCACGCAAGAGTGTACACCTCATCGCGGAAGCTCATAACGTGCGACACAACACCGCTATAGATCCACCGTCCCTATCGAGCCTGCGACGGAATAAATCAGAAAGAAATGAATACCGCATCGTGCTCGGAAATCAAGGAAGGGGTAAAACCTACGTGATGAGATGATAATAAGCGAATGTAAGATGATATCATCGTGCAGAGCGTCCTTGCCTGAGACGAAAATGACGCCTCGACGAGGGATGATATCGCGCTCTCCGAGTGGTTCGTATCATGCATGCGGTCTTTGGTATGAGATCATCGCGCAGCCTCCGACGGAGACATTCTCCAGCCTCACGATGTATGTATGTACTGTCCATTGTGCCATGAATGCAAGTTGACTATGATTTCTGTCAGACAGCTTCCATTGTTAGGCCTAGATTACTGTCAACGTCGAAGCCCGGGCCAGCCCTACGTTGCTTGATATCATCCCAGG